TATATATATATACTATCTATCTATTATTAATAGTACACTATGACACCACACACGCACTACACAAGAGCTGTTCCTTCTTTCTACGTTCTCTCGTTCCTTCGTTCTCTCCCCCCTCCCTCCTCTCTCTCTCTCTCTCTCTCTCTCGATCTTTCGACATGCATAGTGACAAATGTACATAGAGTTTCCTTCTCTTTCTTATCATGAATTTCGCATGTTATGCGTAATTCAAGACCATGCTATCAATGAAATCTAATGCCATTCTGACTTGTGTTACTGTGTTTGCAGTGAGCATGCCCATTCTCACATGGAGATCTCCAAACAACCAATGGCCTCCCGTCACTCTCCACGATCCACACTAGAGGCCATATCCAGCCTATCTCCTCCTCACACGAGCAACCATAGCACATTTAGCTCCCCTTCACCCCCTCCTACCATACCCAGGTCTCCTCGTCTAGCGTCTTCAAATGACTATCTGTTTTCATTGCCAAAGTCACCTTGTGGAAAAGATCTCCTTCACTTCCTCTGATAATTCGATACTCCCGCCGCTTCATAGGAGTCCAAGAAGAGAGGGATATGCCCCTGCTAATTATTTGAGTTGGAAATCGAGTAATTTATTGGCAATGTCGCCAAAATGGCTCCAAAGCATTCGCTAGCTACTGTTCCTTCGCAAGAAAAATATCTGATTTATTGTGCATAATCCACAATAACAGGCACATGGACGGTTTTCTTGGGTGCCTTGTGGTACTAAATTTCTCAGAGTGCAGGGTTCTTCATAAATATGCCTCTATAAATGTAACTTTAGTTGTATGATCAGGAGTAGAAAAATTGTTTGTATGTAGCATATAAGGTGTGAATATGAGTCTGACAGTGGGAGAATGGGACGCAGTGTGTTCACTTTGTACAAATAGAAGACTTTGGAGCCATTGTGTTGTTAAGCAAATAGAAGGCTTTGGAGCCTGTGATGTAAGCTTTGTAAGCAAATAGAAGGCTTTGGAGCCACTGTGTTGTAAGCTTTGTACCAATTCAAATTTCTAAAGCCACTAGGTAGAATACTTCATCGTTTATGCAATGTTTTCTTGAGTTTAGCATGCAGTACGCTTGCAACCAATACAGAACTTTGCTGTTTACATGGTGCTTGAATGCTTAGGTTTGCTTTGGCGTATCGCCTATGGTCTATTTTGACTGGCATGAAGTGTTACTGAAGTCGAAACTACTGCTCTTTTGAAATGAGATCATATGCATTTAAGCTTTCAAACTGGTTCGTAGAAAGTTAGCATACATAATTCAATGGAGAGTAGTTCTCGAACTATTGTTTTCCCCCATTTTTTTATGTGAACAGGGTAAGAACGGAACTCAACATTATTGTGTAAAGGCAAAAAAAATTCTTTGTTAATGGGGTCGGAATAAAACTTACGATGTCATGTTGTGATTTCCTAACTGCAAGTTTTTGGTCTATGCAAATCAGCCGTTATTGCTTGGGCATGACAGAAGGAAGGGCAACTCAAATGTGTGTGACCTGCTTGAGAGAGAGACATCAAGTGTACCTGTATGCGCACATAAACGCGCACACAAATGGTGCAGGACGGGCCCGAGAGAGACTTCAAATGCAAATGTGAGGTTCCAGCCCTATAAACTTGGCATGTTTAACATCGTTAAATGAGTATTTATAAAGAAAAAAAAAGGGTTTTGAGCTCCTAAAAGTTTAGATATGAAGTCCTAAAAATTGAATGGTAGTTCAATCTTTGGGCATGAGTGTTTTGAGGCACCATGTAAAATGAATGGTAGTTCAATCTTTGGGCATGAGTGTTTTGAGGCACCATGTAAAATTTCTTTGTAATGTAATTGTTCGTTGTGTTGAGAAGGCCATGTCCCAAATCCGGGTCCTAAAAATACTCCTAAAGGCCATAACCTATAAACCCAAATTTATATTAAGATGAATTAAAAAAAAAAGAAGAAGTGTATATAAGGTTGCAACATATAATTAAAGATGCATCTCAAAAATCCATCCAAAAATATTGTTTTAATGTTGAAAAATCCTATATTAGAAAAGGTTATTTTAACTTTGAAAAACCACCCTATAGTTGATCATCTCAACATCAAGATGTATGAATATGAAAAAAAAATATATATATTTTGAGTCCTAGAAATAGTGCATCTTCCAACATTTATTTAGACCGTCCATTTTCAAGATTTTCATATTTTTATAGATCTACTTGATTTTTAACCATTTTGAAGTTTGAACTTTTATAATCAGAGATGAAAATAGTTTTTCATATAATTTTAAGAATTTTTTACGCCAAAATTACATGTTTGATAAATTTTGGAGGTGCACCTTAATTGGATTGTTTAACGTTGAAACTTTATAGAAACCACACCCATAAAAACACACATGAATCACCACCAATGTACTCTATACTACTATTAAAGTTGGTGCAAAGACGGGAAATGGGCCGAGTCGTGGTGGTAGCACCCTACTCCCTTAGACACCACTAACACTACCCTACTAATACAGGACCTGTCTTCCCCATTGAATTATCCAAAAAACCTACCTTCCCCATTGAATTACCCAAAAAAAAGAAGAAAAAGGGCTAGTGCAAAGAGAGAGGAAAGGGGCATAAAGGATTAGGTTTATGGGTTTTGAGAAATAATAAATAAAGACAAAAGAGAGATAAAGGTTGTGAGTACAGGCTACTTTTATCCTAAATTACGGTGGATACCCCCCGGTATTTTTTGTTCTTCTCAAGTTACCCCTCTGTCCGATAAACCGAACACCGGACACGTGGGGCTTTACGTTCCAAACGAAAAGCTGTTGTCCGGTGTTCGAATTACCGGACATCTCTATGCGTTTTTTAGTTTTAAGTTTGTTGTCCGATGTTCAAAATACCAAATAGAGAATTTTTTCTTTACAAGATTAAAACCCCTGTACGGTGTTCGAAATATCAGACAAGTCTTTAGCTCATTTTGAGTGAAAAGAGTCTTTAGCTCATTTTGAATGAAAAGTGTCCCATTCCGCTGCTCTGCTCTCTCTTTTCTCTGTTTGCTCTCTGTTTGGTTAAGCCCAAGCCCAAGCTTAAACCCAAGTCCAACACTTAATTCGAGCAAGCTTCTTAAATCACAATCGAATCAAGTATGTTTCAAGATTATTATTTTTTGGGTTAAATGAGATTTGGGGATTAGAGTTTTGGGAATAAAATAACTCCAAAATTTGTAAATGGCAGATTACGGTTTTTGGTTCACTTATGAGTGTTCATTTTCTGATTTGATTGTGATTGAAAATATGGATTGTTAGGCCTTATTGAATATTTAATTGAATCGATAATGAATGCTTATTGATTGATAAAAATAAAGAAGGTTGGGAATGCTTTGAATGTAGTGTTGTGTTCCTTTTTTGCAAATATATTATTTTATCAAAAAATGAACTCAGTCTTAGGGTTTAATGGAATTTTACTGATTGAATGTAGTGGGATCGCTTCAGTCACGATATATTATTTAACTTTGTTAATAAAAAAAAATTATGCTCCTGCATGAGTGTATTGTTGGTCATAGAAAATAAAACTCAATACTAAAGGGTTTTTTTTTTTTATCTAGAAGATTAAGTTTATGCAATCTTGTAAAAAAAAACCCCAAATCTAGATTTTAGGTTACTTCCATTCGATTTCAATTTTGTCATTATTCTCTGGTTATGCTATTTGTATATCATGTATATATATATATATATATGTTTTCCTTATTACGTTATAGCATATGATGTACACTTTTTTTTTTTTTTATGATTATGCCAGATCTATTTTATTTTCGTTTTTTATATTTGCTAGTTTTGCTGGAGCTTATGAAGTAAGAAATTTATACTGGACATTATTATATTAATATTGCTCACCATATTCATTCATAGCCACTAGTGAAGTTAGATTATTGGTTCGCCATGGTGGTTATTTTAAGCATAACGAGTATATGATAGACAAACAAGTTATAAAGATGGTAACTTAAAAGCTACACTATATAAGGGGGGGTGATTCACTACAATAATTAAAAAGCTCATATTATTGAACTCTGACCCAAACAAATTGAAAATTATATATGAAGAAAAGGAGCAGTTAGTTGATTTAATAGATGATGGGGATGTATCGTGTATGTTGATGGTGGTCTTCAATATATTCTTATGTGTTGCATACCAACCATCGCAACCAAATCTAGTGGAGTATCAGCCTTTTGTTCATACATATGCTCAATCAACAAGAGATAGGGATGTGTGACAAAAGACCTTCATTATTATATCGAATGAATTTGAATTATATTTGAACTATATGTGGATCGATACCTACTAATGCTTTAAATTTTTTCCCACTACTGCCTTTTTTTGCACTGCTGCCTTTTTTCCCACTCCTACAACGAGTAATACAGCTGCAGTGCAGGGGTCTGAAATCGAGGGCAAGCCTGTGATAGAACCTGATGTATATGACACGATGCCCTTAGAGCCCCCACTCATATCAACACATCCATGGGTTAACCTAGTTGTAGGATATGATTTTGAGACTGTTGTGGGGTTACATAATCACTTAGTTGATTACAAGATATATCATAATTTTGTGATGAAGTACCATATAAATGATCAAGAAAAAGTGCATGCATATTGTAAAGGAGCATTGGATTGGACTTCGTGCGTGCGATGCTCTAGAGTCGGACAGTCAAAATTCTTCAAAGTAAGAGAATTCATAAATGAGTACACGTGCATAGGACCAATGGCCAGGGCGCATCAGCCATTCGCAAGAAGCCAATGGGTTGCAAAAAGGGTTAAGCCTCGACTAAAAGACCACATAACACTCTGACCTAAAAATATTGCAAAGGATGTTCAACAGGATCATGGGGTCCAATTATCATACATACAAGCTTGGCATGGCAAAGAAGTTGCAAGGGCAATGATCCTAGGCTCAGAAGTACAAGCATATAATAAATGCATGCAAGGGCAATGATCCTAGGCTCAGAAGTACAAGCATATAATAAATGCATGCAAGGGCAATGATCCTACAACACCGAACACATCAAGTGCAATCCAGTGCTCCTTTACAATATGCATGTACTTTTTCATTATCATTTCTACGAAACTTCATTCCAAAATTATGATATATCCCTTAGTTAACTAAGTGACTAACTCCACAATAATCTCGAAATCTTGTCCCACCACTAGGTCAACATGTGGATGTGTTGATATGAATGGGCGCTCTAAGGGTGTCGTGTCCTCTACATTACGTTCCATCGTAGGTTCGCCCTCGGGTTCAGACCCCTGCATTGCAGCGTGTTATTCATTGTAGGGACATTCACTTGTACATAAGGGCAATTGTAAGAAAAAATTTCAAGCATTTAGTAGATATCGATCCACATTTAACTCAGACATAATTTGAAATCATTTAAATATTAATATTTAAAGTCTTTCGTGGCACATACCTATCTCTTGTTGATGGAGTAGATGTATAAACAAAGGGTTGATGCTCCACTGGATTTGGTTACGATGGCTGGTTTGCAACATATAGGAATATATTGGAGGCCAGCGTACACGTTACATCCCCATTATCTATTAAATCAACTAACTGCTCATTTTCTTTATATATAATTTCAAACTATTTGGGTCACAGCTCAATATAGACCCGATATGAGCCTTCAATTGTTGTAGTGAGTCACCCCATTTATATAATGTGGTTTTTAAGTTACCATCTTTATAACTTGTCCGGCTATCATACTCATTACGCTCAAAATAACCACCATGGCGAACCAATAATCTAACTCCACTAGTGGCCATGAATGAATCTGGTGAGCAGTATTAATATAATATGGTCCACATAATTGGTACAAATTTCTTACTTCATAAGCTCCGCAAGACTAGAAAATATATAGGAAAAAATAAAATAGATCTAGCATAATCATAAAAAAAAATTTGTACATCATATGCTATAACATAATCAGCAAAATCATTTTTTTTTAAAAAAAAAACATGATATACAAATAGCATAACTAAAAAATAACGCAAAATTGAGATCGAACGAAAGTAACCTAAAATCCAGATTTGGGGTTTTTTCCTACAAGATTGCATAACTTTAATCTTCTAGATAAGACAAAAAACCCCTCAATATTGGGGTTTATTTTCTATGACCAACATTACACTCGTGCATGAGCATAAATATTTTTTATTAACAAAATTAAATAATATGCTGTGACTGAAGCTATCCCACTACATTCAATCAATAAAAATCCATTAAACCCTAAGATCGAGTTCATTATTTGATAAAATAATATATTTGTAAAAAGGTAACCCATCACTACATTCAAGGCATTTCTGATCCTACTATGTTTTTATCAATCAATAAGCATTCATTATCGATTCAACTGAATATTCAACAAGACCTAATAACGCATATTTTCAATCACAATCAAATAAGATAATGAACATTTGTAAGTGAACCAAAAACCCTAGTCCATCATTTAAAAATTTTGGGGTTATTTTATCCCCAAAACCCTAATCCTCCAAATCTTATTTAGCCCCCAAAAAAAATTTCTGAAACATACCTGATTCAGTTGTGGTTTGAGAAGTGTGATTGAATGTCACACAGAGGGTTTGGCATAAGTGCTTAGACTTGGCCTTGGGCTTCACCAAACATAAAGCAAACAGAGAAAAGAGATAGCAGAGCAGCGAAATGAGGATCTTTTTGCTTAGAAGGAGCCAAATACATGTCTGGTATTTTGAATACCGAACATGGGTTTTAATCTTGTAAAGTAAAAATTCCACGTCTGGTATTTCAAATACCAGACAGCAAGCTTAAAACTTAAAAACACACAGAGCTATTAGGTAATTTGAACACTAGACAACAACTTTTCGTTTGAAACGTGAAAACCCCACCTGTCCGGTGCGGTTTTACCAGACAAGGAGATAGCTTGGGGAAAAAAAATATTGGGGGTGCCGCCCGTGTTTTGGGACAAACGTGATCCTATTTTGTAATTGACACACCCCCCTCAATATGATCCGTTCATAAATTTCTCGAAAAAATGGCAAGGGGAGGGGTGCCGCTCGTAATATGGGACAAACGTGATCCTAGTTTTTAATTGACCTCCCCCCAATATGGTATATACATAAATTTCTCGAAAATATTAAAACTTCTCAGGTAGTTCTCAAAATTTCGGATCGACAGAGTCCTCCCAGGTCTTATGCTCTAGGGTGTAGATTATAGTATGCTTGCACAAGAGCATAGTATATATATATATATATGTGTGTGTGTGTGTGTGTGCTAACTTTTTTTCTGGGAGCCTAGTATACGTGCTCTCTATGCAAAATACGATTTTTTGAATGAAAAAGTTTATATAAGTGTGAGGCTCTAAACCTTCACAATCAAATTAGGGCACACCTTAAAAATTTGACTAGAAGAGGTTGTTTTGATGCCCAAATATCTTCAAATTGATCATCTCAATCTCAAAATGCATGGACATGAGAAAAAAATGGATTTCAAGTTTTGGAAATAATGCATATTGTAATGCATTTTTGGACTGTAAATTTTCAAGATTTTCAAATTTCAATAGATTGGCTCAATCTACACAATTTTGAAGCTTTAAATTTTATAATTATAGACAAAAGTATATTTTAAGGCTAGCACAAAGATTTTCAATATTGAAACCATATTTCTTGACACTATTTGAAGTTGCACTTTACTTTGATTGTTTAGAGCCATGGCTCTATATAACCGCACCCAAAGATGAATTTTCTAAATTTTTGTGTTTTTATCCCCTCTTACTTTATTTGTTGGGAAAATTACAACAAATCCTGAAAATACACTATCTATGCAACTTACCCCCATCCAAACCTTTTCTCTCACTTTTTTCCACACAATAAACTTTCAATACAAAAACACCCCAAGGTAAATTTTTTATTTTTTTTTTAGTATGGAAATGACCTTCCGATACAAAAAAAATCAAATGGAGCGCCTTCGGATACAACCGAAGTGCTGTGACTCCTGGGCAAGTACCGTCGGAGTGCCCTATTCAACTGTCGGCGTGCCTCGTCTCCAGAATAAGCACTGCTGGAGCACATTTTGCAAATGCTGGGGCGTTGTCATCTCCAGAACATGCATTGCTGGAGCGCATGTGTCTCAAGTGCCGGAGAGCTGTGTCTTAAGTGCCGGAGTGCCCTATGCAACCACCGGAGCGTTGTGGCTGCAGAGCATGTATCGCCGGAGCGCCCTTTGAGACTGCCGGGGCGCAGTGTCTTCAGCATCGGAGTGCCCTGTGCAACTGCTGGAGCGTTGTGTCTTCAGCGCGGGAGTGCCCTGTGCAACTGCCGGAGCGCTGTGGCTCCAGAGCATGTGTTGCCAGAGCGCCATTTGAGACTGCCGGAGCGCATTGTCTCCAGAACGTGTACTGTTGGAGCGCCTTCTGATATTGCCGGAGCCCTGTGTCTTCAGTGCCAGAGCGCTGTGGCTTCAGAGCATGTATTGCCGGAGTGCCCTTTGGTACTGCTGGAGCGCATTGTACGTTTACTGCCGGAGAGAGAGAGGCGTGTGCTAAAGCTACGGGGTAGTTTAGTTTTTTTTTGGGTTGGGGGGTTATTTGCATAGAAAGGTCGTTGTGGGGCAAAATTTGGGAGAAAAGTTTAGCTGGGGGTTAGTTGTATAAAAAGCATATTTTGATTTTGATTTTTTTTTTTTTTGTTTGTAGTTTGCCCTTTATGTTTTTTAATTTTCTAAGTTTGAAATCCATACTAACTGTATACAAAACCGTCCAACCGCTCCAAGGCTTTGACCGGTTCGAATCGGGACCGGTCATGATAACGCTGCCGCCATCTGCATAGGGTTGTGAAGCCAACCACATAATAATAGGGTTCCGGAGCCTGTCCAACTTTTCCAACTATTTCTACCATCCTCACTGAAGAACAGCCTCAAATCTCCATCTCTCTCTCTCAATCCTTTTGCTTTCTCTATTTCTAGATCCTTCTCTCTCACTCTCTAAACCCTCTCCCATCTCTGTATCCTTCTATCTCTAGACCTGAGATAGCCTTGAAACTCATAAAACCTCTCTGAATCCTAGAGCTTGAAGATTCAAGAACCATGGCCGAAGAGACGTTCTCTTCAAGGGCGGACAGCCACAAGCGGAAGTTCGATGAGCCCCCACCAGCTCCTCGCAGGCCCACCGGCTTCTCTGCTGCCCCGCCTCCGGAGCAACAAACGGGTTCATACAACAGTGTCCCCCCGCCGATGGACGAAATCGCTCTAGCCAAACAGAGGGCCCAAGAGATTGTTGCTCGCCTTGTCAACAGTGCGGATGCCAAGCGTCCCCGCACCGATGACCCATCTGAAACCCTAACCCCCTCCAATGGCTTCCTAACTGGTTTGTTCACATACATACACTCTCTCTCTATATTTTCTCTTCTTTTTTTTTTTTGTGATTGTTGCCTCTTTATTTCTCCATCTATCTCTCTAGGTATTTTTATCTCTATATGCTTTGTTCTGTACCTCTTTGTTTGCTGTTTGCTACCTCTTTGTACCCCTTTATCTGCTTTTTATCTCTGTGTTGTCATTTTTTCCTCTTTATTTTATATTTGTCATCTCGTTCAAGCTTCCTATTTGCTGTTTGGTATGTCTTCATTTTTCTAATTGCTAGCTGTGTTTGCTATTTGTTGCTAGGTTTTTAACTGTATTTGCCAGTTTTTCTCTATTTTCTGATTGTCATATCGTAAGTTCGAGTTGCTTTGTATTTCTCTCTATTATTTGTTATCTATTTCTGGGTCTTTTTTTGCTATATTCTTTTCTTTCTGGATCTATTATTTTTACTCTCTTTGCCCTCTCTTTGTAGACATTTATTTGCTCTCTATTAGGTCATTGCATCTTCGTCATTGCATCTTCCTATCTCTCAATTTGTTATTGAATTTGTCTCTTCCTATCTCTCAATTTGTTATTGAATTTGTCTCGCTTTGTCTTTATGGCAATTTCCTGTCATGATTACTGTCTTTGTTATTGATTACGGGCATGGACAATACACAATGATAAAACACCTGGGCTTCTGCAAGTATAATTTTCATGGATTTTATGGGAGCTTGATATTTATTTTTCTATTATTTGTAGAATGCTTCGTTTGGGGAAATAAGAATTTTTAGGGTTTTTGTTTGTATGTATATCGCCCTTTTCCTTTTATTTTCTGAATGCTAACCTGAGCATTGGAGTTTCTAGACATCAAGTCATGCCACCTGCCACCCTGACAGATTATTCATTGTTTGATTGTTTTGCTCTGTAGCGTGATTAAGGTGGACCCATTACCAAATCTGGTCTCTTGAAGATAATCTGGTGTTATGAAGATTTTAATATGGTGTCTTGAAGATAGTCTGGTGTTATAATTTTTTTTATATGGCATCTAGAATCTTTTGGATTTTTCTGTGTGCGTATGTGTTAGTGATTTAGTGTCTGCTTCCAGCATTAGGATATCGAGTTGGCCAAACTCTCTCTCTCTCTCTCTCTCTCTTTCTCTCTCACTCACTCACACACACACACACACACAGAGGTTACAACCGGGATTTCTAGGATGTGCTTGGCTGAGTGTTGGTATTAAACCTAGTTCAATTGGGTATTGGTTTGTCATCCCTCATGTGGTGGCCTTGGGAATTCGATGTGATTACATTTGAAGTTCTAATGTTTTTTATCCTATACTTTTCTCTTAGGTCATGCTGCTTGCTAATTCAGTTTCCTTGCGATTACGTGACAGGGTTTCAATAGTATGACGGATTTAGACATTTTGAAGTGACTGTGTTGTGTTTGATATCTGTAATAAGAGTAGAGCCTTCTGTTTGTCTGCATCTGCTCATCCAACTTTGTGCGCTAGTCTTTTTACAAGGTAGTTGCTAGTCAAAAGAAAAAAAAGAGTTAGAGATCCATATGTGATGAATCATTCAGGGGAACAAAAGGACAAAGATATCTGTATATTTGTTTAATTATATGTAACATGTAAAGTTCATTCTTTCTCTTTTCTACATATTCATGCTATTTAGATGAATGAATTTTGGAAAACGTTGATTCACATATTTTATTTTATGTTAGTATATGGTATAGCCCTGAGCATATGGTGGGCATTGTGTAAATGATGCTTTCTGCTGGTACTAGCTTCGTGGGCACCTAAACATGGACAACAACATGCCATTGTATTTGTAGAAAGTATTCATGATGATGCATAAATGATTTCATTAGTGGGGGTTCTTTATATTGTGGGGGCAGGTACACACGATACTTGGAGTTGGAAAGGTCCTCTATTAACAAATTGTTGGATATTCAACTAGGATTTAGTTTGTAAGAGGTGAATGTCTTAGTCTCTTAGCTGGATGGTATATATGGTGCTAATATGGAAAATCCCACTGGTCTTAATTCTGTACTTTGGAAAGTTCATCAGATACTCTTCATGCTATCGACATCTCCATCTGTTATATTTTTACCAAAACCCTTATCCATATTATTCTGTTATGTCATTCCTTATTCTTTTTGCATAACTCTTCCGTGCTGACAATTATATGTTCGTTTTTATTGACAATTTCTTGCTATTGATTTTTTATATCCCTTTCAGATCTTTCACAAAACCCCCCAAGCCAGCCAATGGGGAACCTTCAAGTCAACCCCACCGTTGCAGCACAACCAGCTTCTTACTATGGTTTTCAGGGCACAAGTAAAAAGATTGATATACCGAATGGGAAGGTTGGGCTAACATCTCTATTGATATCCCTATGCTTCTTTGATTTCCACTTGTTACTGACACTTAAGTGGATTCTCATCCTTCATATTGTTGCTTTCTCCTGTTTACAGGTTGGTGTTATTATAGGGAAGGGAGGAGAAACCATTAAATATCTTCAGCTCCAGTCAGGGGCTAAAATTCAAGTTACCAGGGACAGTGATGCTGATCCGAATTCTCCAAATAGACAAGTAGAACTTGTTGGTACTTCTGAGCAAATCAGCAGGGCAGAGCAGCTAATCAAGGATGTGATTGCAGAGGTGTGTTTGCTCTGCTGAACTTTATAATGGTTCCTTTTCGAATTCATTTTTTTATTAATTTCATTAGCAAGGTGTTTTCTTATTGTCTCTATGGCTTTCTGGTGGATCAGGCAGAAGCAGGGGGCTCTGGTGCGCTTGCAGCTCGGGGCATCTCTTCAGTGCAACCGGACGGTAGTGAACAATTCGTGATGAAGGTTCCAAATAACAAGGTAATATTCTGGATCTTGTTATCTGCTCTTTTTTTGGTTTCTTTTGGGCTAGATGGTGGTCTTTTTGCGGAATTTTAGACGTGTTTGAATTGATTGACCTCTGCCTTATCTAGGTTGGACTGATTATCGGTAAAGGGGGTGAGACCATAAAAACCATGCAAAGCAGGACTGGAGCACGGATTCAGGTTTGTGACCTTCACCTTTTAGTTGGAAATTGATGCTGTCAATTATTTTGCTAGCCCTGCTTTTATTAAAAAACAAAATCATGTAATTGGTGAAAATTTCCTTAGATTTAGTGTACTAATTGTTTTGTTGGTATTGGCATCATTGTTATCCAACATTCAGAGCTTTTCATTATGACTTTGTGAAGCTTTTAGAAATATAAGCTAGTTTTGGGTACTTTAATCGGTTTTGAGAGATCTGGAGTCGCACCCACACAATTGTCTAGCCATTTGTTTGGCAGACTCTTGGGCTCATTTAATGGTGCATTTCCCTGGAAGCCCGAGAGCTGTTTTAACTATATTGTTAATAATTTCTGCTCGATATTTCAATAGGGTATCATGCGGTTATTGGCTCCTATGCTTCCAATTATGGTGAACTTCACAAGATTTCTGTGCAATATCTGTTTAGCATTTGATGCCATTCTTAGTTCTTTAAAAAAAACACATTTGATTGCTGCCTATTCTCCTGGCCCCACTCTTCCTTACAAATTTAGCTTCCAAAGATAGAATTTGCTGTTCAATAATTTCCTAAAATGTCACTGTCATTCGAATAGCATCTGGCTGACCTGTCAAAGAGCAATGGTCTTTTCAATTATTAACAAATATGCTATCAAAAAAGAAAAGCCGCTTGTTTATTTGGATTTGATGTATTCATGGTTTTTCTCCTGGCCCCACTCTTCCTAATTTAGCTTCCAAAGATAGACTTTTGCTGTTTAATAGTTGCTCAAAATGTCACTGTCATTTAAAAAGCATCTAAGTAACCTGTCAAAACACAGTTTTTTTCCATCATTCACAAGTGTTTTGTCGAGTAATGTTTCCCCTTGTTTATTTGGATTTTGATGTACTCATGTTTTGTTCGTTGGCTTCTGAATATGTCCTGATCTACTATGCTGTAGATGATGTTTCTGTTTTCTTGTATTTTTGCATATGCTTAACTAAAATTTATACATTTTTGTGTGAAATGCAGGTGATACCATTGCATCTCCCACCTGGGGACACATCGACAGAAAGAACAGTTCAGATGAATGGCACTAAAGAGCAAATTGAAGCTGCTAAAGAATTAGTCAATGAAATTGTTAATGAGGTATGCGTTGTTGGATTCTGCATGAATACCTGGTATGCCTGGTGATATCTCTTTTATTATTCATACTTGCATGTATGCTTTTTGAAACCTTTGTTTAGATAAGCATTCTTATGGATGTGTACATGAAATGGTGCTGTAGTTATGTATCGTAAACACTAAAATGGTCATTTAGACTAGCTATTTTTATTCAAGGTGTATGTGTTAGATCTTGGTCTTTTGTATCTATTTTGTGCCCTGCAGGATATTTGTGTCAATGATCTCTTCTTTACGTTCTACTGAGATTTGACCATGGTGGAAATTTCACTGCAAGTGCTATGCATATGAATGTTGTTGGCATGCTCTCAATATTTTCTAGTAGCACTAATTCATTGATTGACTGGGTGCCATTTTTGTTATGGTGTAGTGCCCTTGCCTCCTAGTCTATGGGCATCCTGCATTTTGCACTTTTGTGAAATGTGAATTGTACATTCCTTTATAACGGCAGGCATTCTTCTGTTCTTTCTTGTTTTAACTCCCTGTTTGTATGAAATTCAAGAAACTTGATTTTGATCATTCTGTCTACTATGACTATGTGAAGTGTATCTCTAGAGTCCTACATGTCGCATTGCCACATTTTTATAAGCTTCGAGTTTTGTCAGGATGTAAGAACTGGTTTCTAAGGTGAGTTTGGAAACGATATACTTGATGGACCATATATCTACCATATATTACTTTTTGCAATTGCTCTATGTTCCATATTCCTAGCTGCAGGGTCGTCATTTGGATGCACACATGTGTGCCTGGAATTTTGAGAAGTTATGTTAGTTGCAGCAATTTGAAGGAATATGAACGGTACAACATCTGCAATGGACATTATATTTGTTTCCTTCTAATCACCAAACATGTAATTATTACTTTTGGCTTTTTGGTACACTTACCTTATATATATTTCCAGTCATTTGTGAGGTTTCAGATGTTTGAAGACCACATTTTTTGCTGCATTCTTTGTGTACACGCAACTGCCAACAAGGGCTGTCACGCAACTGCCAACAAGGGCTGTCTAGTTATGCACTCTGATAGTCAGATATCATAGCATTCACTTTTATATTTCTCATTTTTTATTTGGTGTTCCATCGACATTGTGTATTTTGCTGGTCTTAACCTTTTATTAAACCAACTATATCCACTATTGCTCTTCCTACTAGTGCACGGTCTCTTGTACATGATCTACGTTTTGTATTTAGATGCTTCTATTGGATTCTTGTCGGCCACAAGTATTTGACGAGGAGAAATATTGAGGGTTGTGGCCATCAACTCATTTAGTAAGTCTGTGGAGCAGTTGATGTCTTGTTGAATATATCTCCTTTGCCAATTCCATTATTGAATTTGCTTCAGCTATTAATTGATGGATTATTATAGTTTTTATGGAAGCAAATTTACTCAATTATTTGGAGCACTTAATGGATTATCGTTAAGTGGCTTCGAAAATTCCTCTATGGCATTTTGTTGGTGGTAGGTTAGCCAGAACCATATAAATCAAGTGAATGTAAGCTCTATTTCCCTGTTTTCTGCTCAGTTTCTGAATCTGCAGGATAAGTGGGCTGCTAAAATCCATTCTTCAATGTTCGGTCTTCTTGATAGAAGCAGGTTTGCGTTAGGTGCAGATGTGCTACAATTTTCTGTGAATTGTTTGGACTTCAAACATTTTTGTGAATCCTGGATAAGTCAATTCACGTATACTTGTTTAACATTGCTGGATATGTTAATCTTGCCTTGGAATTACTTGAAGGGATCGTGTTAAGCAGGAAGTATGTTGATAGCCTCTATAGAAGTTAGTCTAAAAGGTTTGGTTGGTGTCATATACATTTCTTCGTCAACGATGAGAATATATATGAAATAATTTCTCGTTTGGTTCTGGTTTTTGTCAGTTTCTTATGCTCGCACTTGTAGAAACTTTACTCAAGAATCATTTGGGATTTTGGGATCCAGCATTATTTGTTACTAACCACAGGGTTGGCTTGATGAGCATGTTGGTGTTCCTTTGTCTCTGATTGACTAGGCAGAACTATATTTCATGCCAAGTGCTGGTATGGTTTTGAATATCCCAATGGTATTACTCTGTATAATTTATACTCCATTTAAATATCTGTTGAAGATATTGTCATAACTAATTCCTCTTGGAGACTACTATTGAATTGGGATAATTAGCTTGCGTGGAATTTCACTCAGGAGAGATGCTCTTTTTATAAAGAAGCACCACTGGATATGGTTATTTTGAGCGCATCCACAGGAAGTGTATTCTCACTTGGGTAGGGTTCACTATGAATGTTATATATGGATCATATTTTAGTGTTTTAAAGGATTGAATAGTTACTGCTTCTATCACTTTCTTGTTGAATTGTTTCTTTGTAAATGGAACTGTATGTCATATACTTCTTGAGTTGCTTGTACGAGTTTTGAATCCATGATTAGTTAGTGGGGAAGGATGAGGATTTGCTGATTTGTCCGTTGTATGAAACCCCATTCAGTTAGTCCAATGCAACAAGGTGAGCATGTCATTTCTTACTGCCTAATAGAGATTAGATCAAATGAATGTATCCTTTTGGTTAATACAAATAGCATCTTTCCGATTCTCTCTTATATGCGTAGGCCGTCTTAATTCTTGGTTCTCACTAAATTCATCTTGCCTCTTGTGTTAAATGACCACTTTCTCTCACTAGTCTTGTGACACTGTTTACTTCTCCACCTCACTACTCTTTTGCTCTCTCTTGCAGACCCGCCCAAGAAACCCGACAATGTCAACAAATTACTTGCAGCCAGGTGCCTACCGTCCACCTCGCCCCCCCTACAACTGGGGCCCTCCAGGCCCTCCTCCAATGCAACAGCAGCAGCAGCAACCAGGCTATGGCTACACACAACCCGGACCCTATTCAGGCCCACCTCCTTACATGTCCCAACCATATGCTGCTTCTCAACAATACGCTGCCTATCCACAGCAACCCCCTGCCGCCTATAATTCCTCTTGGGACCAAACTACCCCTGCCTCAAACCCAACACAGGCCCCTCAACAAGCCCCAGGTTATGATTACTATACGCAACCCGGCCAAACCACAGCACCCACTGCTCCTGACACTAACTATGGTTACACCCAACAACCCCCCACTTCTAGCGCACCCTATGAGCAATCCTATTCTCAACCCTCTAGTTATACACAACAAGATGGCTATAACACTAACCAAGCTCCAAACCAACCTGCAAGCCAGGCACCATATGACCAGACTCAGGCCTACTCTGGACCCAATTATGGCCCGCCTGGTGCACCAACCCAGCAAGAGTCAGCTCCATCCTATGGAACCCAGGGCTCGAGCCAGGCACAACCGGTCCAGCCAGTGGGCTCACAACCAGGTTATGGTGTTCAGCCTCCACCTGCTCAAGGTGGGTTTCCATCGAGCCAACCCATGGCTCAGTCAGCATATGGGCAACCAGGTCCTTATGCTCAGGCTGGCTATGGACCTCAGGCTCAAAAACCACCTGCATATGGGCCTGTTGCTGGAGTAGCTCAGCCTGGGTATCCTACCCCGAGCCCACCCGCTCAGTCAGGGTATGGACCTCCTGCTCCTTATACGAGCCCTGCCCCGCCTGACCAGGCTCACCAAGGTGGATCAAGTTATGGGCAAGCGGGTTATGGTGGGCAACCTGCTTATGGGCAGCCAGGCTATAGTGGGCCACAAGGGTATGCCGGTGGTGTTGGCGAAGGTTATGGTGGATATGAGCAGAGGCCATCGAGCGATAGGCAGCCAGCATCAGGTCATGGGTATTCGCAGCAGCCACCTCCTGCTTATGGTGCCGAAACCGGCAGTGGTGCGAGCAGCACTCCGGTTGGGGTCCCAAAGACCTCACCTCAGAGTTGAGGTGGTCTCTTTCTCTTATGACTTATTCGCGTCTTTCTTTGGGTGTGTGTGCTTAGCCTCTGTCTTAGGTTCGCGTGTTTTCAGGTTGGTGTTGGGATTTTCGAAGTGTTCATAAACTTTGTGGATGATCAGGATTCAGGAAAAGAATTTTATCCTGTGCTTTTGGGTTTAGTTTTCCAGTTAAGAATTAAATGGAGTGCAAAAATTTTTCATGCGGGCTGAATTGCATTTCTACAATATGTATAAAGCATCTATCATAAAGATTGATGCAATTAGGTTGTCCATCTAAAAACAATTATAATTAACGGTTCAAATGTTTTTTTAATATAAATATTATTTTTAGTTTTAATAATTTATTTATTTTTTCATATTCATAATTTCCATATTAAAGATTATATATTTTTTAAAAATAAGATCAAATTATATTTAAAAAATATATTTATTGCCAAGCCGTGGGCTGGCCGCATAGAAATCGTGTCCAAATGTTATTGGAGGAGGGCATGCGGAAACTATGAAAAGAAGTTGGGTGGCATGCGAAAGCGGTGAAAATGTTATTGGAGGCCACGCGTAAACGAGTGGCTTGGTTCTTTATCCTATTTATTTTTGTATCAAGCCCTCAAGTTTGGAAGTAACTTTCGTTAAGGATGAAAGTATCCCTTTCTATATTCATCCCAATCTAGATTCATCTTCTCTTTAAAAAATTTGAGAGTATCCCTATCTAAATTCATCTTCTCTTTAAATTTTTTGAGAATATCTCATCTTCTCTTCAAAAATTTTGGGATGGTATCAATTTGTAGAGATAATTTCAATTTGAAATTTGAGACATCGTGAGATAGTTTTTCTATTCAAATAAATTGTGTTTTTTCTCTCCAAATATTTTGAGATAGAAACTGTCTTTAAAAGGTGTATATCTAAAATTTCAAATTTGAATAAATTGTAGAGCAAGAAACTATCGTGAATGTTCGAGGGTATTCTCATCTTTAAAAAAATAATATTTTACTTGGATGTTTGGATATAAAAATGAATGGTTTTGGGGTTGATGTAATTAAGAAAATATCAAGGGTTGCATGCCAAGAAAGCAGGCGCTTTGTACAAACCTGACCCTTTTTCCATTTTAAAGAAATCTATTTTTTTGTTTTGTTGTGTGCACACGTTCATACCCAATTTCTTCTCTTTCTTTTTAGTGGCAAGATTGCTCATGCTTAAAATTTTGAAAATCCGAAGTTTTTTATCATGAGAACTAAAAAAAAAAAAATTCAAATTTTCTCAGAATTTGAAGTTCTTTATATTGATAAAACTCTAAAAAATTCAGATTAAAAAAATATGAAGTTTTCTATGCGAGTTTTATCAACAGGGAAAAATTTTGGATTCTCAAAATCATAATTTTTTTTCTTGATATTTGGGGTGTACATTAACATAAAAAACTTCTTTGAAAATTTGAAGGTTTTTTGCTGCTAAAAAAACCATAGATTTTCAAAATCTGATTTTTTTAATTAATGCATTTAAAGAAAACTAGAAAAGACTTTGGATTTTGAAAAGAGCGCAGTTAGCATGTGACCAATCTTGCACATGAAGAAATGTGGTGGGTTTGGCAATAAATGTATTTTTAAATATAATTTGATCTTAATTTTTAGAGAATATATAATTTTTATCATGATGAAAAAATAAATAAGTTTTAAAAATTAAAAATAATAATTACATTAAAAAAATATTTGAACGATTATTTAGATGGACCACCTATTTGTGTCCATCTTTAAAATATATGCTTTGTACCTCTGGATCCTACATATTGTACAGATGAGTTATATTAACAATAAAAACTTATAGACCTTGGAATCTCAAATTCGAAGGGCATTTGGGAAAAATACAAAAAGAGGATAAGAGGGGGATACAAGTGTAATATTTAACATTTTCAGGGGGGTTTTTATTGAAGAAAAGTATATAATGAGACTATTTGCCTTTGATAGAATGTGGTCATAATTAATCTTGACTATTGTATGTGAAATTGGGTGCTTGCATTTATTTTATTGATCAAGCTCAAAGTTCAAAAGAAATTTTTTCGAACTTCGTAACATATCCAAACTATTAGATTTCACATCGGATGATTATAAGTAACTATGTTTTTGTACCAAAGATAAAAAATCTCATTATATAAAATCCTTTTTAATAATGATAAATTTAACGGGATATTTTGCTAAATTCTCTTATTATTATATATCTTAAGTGAGATCGATCTTCCATAATCTTTCGACATCTATTCTTTTCTTTTCTTTACTAAAGCATATTGTGATTTCTTAATTATTTTTCTATTTTGACCTTTTATTTTCTGAAAATTATTTCCAACTCTTTTATTAATAATTACCATTATGCCCCTACCCTACCCCAAAACCCGTGCAGTAAAATAAAGGAAAAACCTTCCTGTGATAGGAGTTACAGTCATGCTTTTTCAACACAATATTTGCCTATTATGGGAAGTCTCAAAAATTTGCTTTCAAGTTCTATGCACATGAACTAAAAGCCCACTGTAAGCGCCAGAGTTGTGTAAGAATAGAGAGAGTCAATTCAAATTGAGAGAGGGTGAGAAAATCAGGTAGAGAGAGAGAAAATGAGTTTAGAAGGTGTAAAAAAAAAAGGGGAAGTGAGGTCACGGTTGAAGTGAGCACTCGCTTGTAGTTTTGACGAACAATGTGACCGTTGAGTTTTTATTAATCAATAGACAAACACTACCAATGTGACTGTTGAGTTTCTATTAACCAAACCAGCATCCAACGGTTATCAACCATTTATCAACGGACAAACAGTATACACATACGTAAGTTTTCTCAACGGTTAGTATTAGAGGCATTGGATCACTCGCACAAATGCCCACCACCATCAAATGCACCATTTGGATCGGGGATACGTCCCTTAAGAGTAGGGCGAGTCTCAAGCCCGACCCGTACACATGCTTGGGAGAGGATATAGCTAATGCACTAAATTGCCACTCACGATGGTGCTGTAGACTTAAATATGGCCCCCTCTGAATTTTAGTGTATGTTTATTCCCTTAGGTATATTTATTCCCTCAAGTAACCTCTTTAATAAATATTCTAACTTAAATAAAAAAAAATTCTTAATTGCACCCTTTAAATATTTGAAAAAGATAGCCAAATTCTTAATTGCACCCTCTAGATATTTGATAAAGATAAAGTCTCGAGATTAAAAAGAAACAATTAAATTGTTAGGGAGTGGGATCTAAACCTTTGAAAAATAAAAATAAAAATTTTTTATTTGAGAATAATCATCTATTGATTCTCAAGTAGTTACCAAAATTTGAGATTTAAAAAATCCTCCGAAGTACGTGATGTGATCGAGGAAGTAACAGTAAACTATCCTCACGAGTGAGCATAGTATAACACACTTAAATATGAGGAAAAGAATACACATAACTAATCCTATTGCGGCTATTAATATAGGTGCGACAGAGAAGGAGGAGATAACATATGAAATTTTTAACAAAAGTTTCTATAGAGCCGACGCTCTAAACAATCAAATTAAACCCTACCTCAAAAATTTCACTAGAGTAGGTTGTTTTGATGCGCAAATATCTTCAAATTGATCATCTCGACATTAAGATGCATGGATATGAGAAAAAAAATAGATTTTAAGTTTCGAAAATATGGTATTTTGTAACGTATTTTTGGACCATCAATTTTCAAGTTTCATAGATCTATAGATCTACAGTATTTTTGAAGTTTTAAAGTTTATAAATAAAGGTGAAAATATTTTTTTAGTTTATTACAAAGATTTTCAGTATTACAACCATATTTCTCGATACTATTTGAAGGTGAGCTCTAATTTCATTGTTTAGAGCCTAGGCTCTATACAAACAACACTCTTTATTTTTTATACAAAGAGATCACATTCATTATTGATCATTAAATTTGAAACTTGAGAGTTGAGGACGTACCATTGTTTAGACACAAAGTACAAAATAAAATTGTTCGAGTGTCGTGACTCAGTTTCATTTATTAGATCTAATAGCTAAAAGTAATTTGTACCATCCTTGTACAAAAAATAAATAGTCGCATAGTATATATGTTGAGGATTGATGCCTTGTATTATGAGGAAATAGATCTATCAAGGTGGAGTCAAAAAGACGATTTCGGAGGGCCGTTAAAAGCCCGTAGGGCTTGAGGGATTCGATATATTTGAAACTTGATATATATTCGTACAAGGGTATTTTGGTAAATTGTACCATTTATCTCGAACTCGATTTATATCGTTGCGATTGGGGGATTATCCGAAGTTAAAGGTTAAGGGACAAACACAAATCTCTTTGTAATTAGATAAAAACAGAGAGGCATGAGGAAGAGAGAGAATTGTAATCCTATTCTCTATTGCTAGTAAAGAAGCTCTAATCTCCCGTAGACGTAGACACGTTGCCGAATCACGTATATCTTTGCGTTGTGGTTGATTATCTTTTTTTTTTGTATTTTTTTCTTCTTTCTTGTTTTTTGTAGATTGCTTTTTGTTTCTACAATATAATCCCAATATAAAGTAAAAAGAATGGACCTTATTTATGTGCGGCCAAACCTTCATGTAGAAATGCGGGCCTATTGATAAATTTATTTTTGAGATGAAATTTTGAACTTGATTTTTAAGGGCACGTAATATCTAACATTGAGATCATGAATATGAAAAAATAACCAAAAGGAATTAGATTACTTTTTGTTTTATTTCTTTTCTTTTTTTTTTTCTTCTTTTTCTTTAATAGGTATGTGCCTAATTGGGTAAAAGCACTTTGTTTGAATTAGCAGCTCAAAGAAACCAGTAACTTTGATATTTCCCAGGAAAAAAAATAAAAATAAAAATAAAGGAAAGAGTTTACAGATTAGGTGGAAGATATGAACTGGTTAAAAAACCACAAGCTTTCTTAACTTTTCTTAGGGAAGTTGACAACCATGTATACGACTGTTGGAGCTAACATGAAAATCAACAGCAATTGACTACATTCATAGGAATGGAGGCCCTCACCTACTTTATTCTTTTTAAAGCATAAGAAGAACTCTCTCTCTTTCTCTCTCTACTTCCTTCTGTAAGCATAAGAACTTTCTCTCTCTACTTTCTTCTTTTGTAAGCATAAGAAGAACTCTCTCTCTCTCTCTATCTCTACTTTTGGTCAGCAATGTATTTCATTAATCTATAATTTAATAACCTGAAAGAGACTATCCCCTATTTGGGGGGAGAATCTGAAATAATGCTCATTTCAACCAAACCCCTTATTCATCTCCCTGGACTTTGTTTCTTTTCTTTACGAAACAACTGCTCTATTCATTTTTTTTCTCTCTTCACAATTAATAATTAAGATTCTCTCTCTCTCCCCTCAAGCACATGTCCTGAGTCCGGACACGGTTTTTATGAGTCCACGTAGAAATGAGTCACCTATTAAAAATCTATTTTTGAGATGGAATTTTTTACCTAATTTTTAAAGACATGTAATGTCTTATATGGAGATAATGAATATGAATAAATTAATTAATTTTAAAAATTAAAAATAATAATTTGATTAAAATAACATTTGGAAAAGTTAATTTCAACTGCTTTTAGATGGACCACCTATTTACATTCATATTTAAAATAGATGCTTTATACCTGGGGGGCACTGTAGAAATGTGGTCCCGGCCGCATAAAACAATTTTCCTTTTTGTTGCCCTTTTCATCTGATTTAAGCTTGAAGATGCCCAAGAACAAAAGGGGTTGAAATTTGATGCAAAGAGCCACATCTCCAATCCAACGGTGTAAGAAATCCCTATAATAGCCTAAAAATTTATTTGTACCCCTAATTGTGAAATTCAAAGCTTCAGGATTGGTGCTGGAGAGAATATATAAACATTTAAAAACCTTAAAAATGAACGGGACAAATAATATTGTCTTTAGGACTTAAAATCTTTTCTAATTCATATATCTCAATATTATGGTCACCAAAGAGGCTACCAACATAAAAACAAAAAAAATTGGTGGGTTTTTAAGGGTACCAGTATAAAATTGGTCCATTGTATACAAATTTTCGATAGATTTTTAAGAAGTATTTGGCTCAAATTATTTTTTTTGAAATATTCTGTTAATATTTTTATAGGGTACGGTTTCTATAAGGTTGCAACCTTAAACAATCCAATTACAACACACCTTAAAATTTTATCATAACATGTTATTTTGTTGTAAAAAATTATTAGTATTATTTTAAAATCTATTTTCATATCTAATCAGAAAATTTTAAATTCCAAAAATAGTTAAAATCAAGTAGATCTATAAACATATGAAAATCTTGAAAATGGATGGTCTAGATAATGTGTTGCAAGATGCACAATTTCCGAACTCAAATTTTTTTTTTTTCATATTCATACATATCGATGTCGAAATGATCAAATAGAGGGTTTTTCAACATTAAATCAACCTTTCCGATAGATTTTTGACATGCATATCTAATTCTACATTTTAAAGTTGCAATCTTATATAATAGTTTCTATATATATATATATATATATATTATTATATTATATCGATGTTGCATTCTCTTTGGCCTCTCTCTCCGTCTGTTTGTGCGTGTATGGCATACACTGTATTGTGTGTGGCCTAACAGGGGAGCACAACGACAAACAGATAATGGCAACCCATAACCACAGGGACTAATGTTATACAGCTCTCTTAAAAGTCTTAAACCATACTTATAAATTCATACAACTCTCTGAAACCATATTTATAAATAAATGATGGCCTAAAAGTTGCAGTCACCAACATAAATACACCATTTAAATACAAGAACGGTCAAAGGAATCTTGAAGTATCATGCGCTCCTTCTTCTCTGCCTAACAAAACAAAGTCAACCACCCCAACTGAAAGTAATCCTGTTCTATATATACATATAGCAATGGGACTCAAAAAGCAGGAACAATAAGCTTCCAGCTCTCTATTTTCAAGAACAGACCAAAACAATGGTAAACCCTAAATCTTGATTTGTTTTTCTTTTTAACATAACCCTAAATCTTGTTTTCATTCCTCTTTTCTTATGCCAAATTTAGTTATAACTAACTCTCCTTCTCTAAACGTAATATGAATAGGGTATTTGCAGAGATGGAAAGGCCCAAGTTTTGCAGCCTAAGAAATTGGGAGGAAGGAGAGCTGTTCTCTTTGTCTATGGTCATTTCTATATCTTCTTTGAGAATTTCAGCTAAATTTAACTAGTGTATACTAGTATTTTCCTCTCTAATTTTTAGATAATTCTCTAAATTTGGTGAAAAGTTTTGGATTTGGGTTTGGTGGTATCACTTGAACTCTGGCTTTGCGTATTTTTTTGGGGTTTTGCAGCCATGGAAGCAATGGAGAACATGGCATTCATTGCCAGTGCAGTCAGTCTGGTGACTTATTTCAGTGGTTACATGAATTTTGATCTGACTAAATCTGCTAACACTCTCACCAACTTTATGGGGACTTCATTTCTTTTGCCTATAATGGGAGGATTCATTTCTGATACCTTTCTCTCAAGATTCAAGACATGCATTATCTTTGGGTTCATAGAACTCATTGTAAGTTCTCTTTTGATCATTTTCTTAAAATCAAAATGGCCAATTCTGGTCTTCCCAACAAACCAAAGGAAGCCTACTCTCTCTCTCCCAATAAGCCATTCGAGTGCATCTGAAATAAAATTGACGTGATAATATAGTTGAAGTGTAAAAACATGTTGTACAACCTACTCGGCTAAAACTCGCCTTACCTTACCCATAAGGCTCGGCCGAGTTTTGGAACCATGCTCATAACAAAGTCTCACATCCCATTGGCATCTTCTCTCATTTTCCTACACTAATTCATTTTACAAACTGTTTAAACAGGGGTATGCTCATCCCATTCCCATCTTCTCTCTTTCCTACACTAATTCATTCTACAAACTGTTTAAACAGGGGTATGCTCTTCTTACAGTGCAAGCCCACTTCGATTTCATGAGGCCGAAGATGTGCCCCATTTTAGGCAACAATTCTCAGAGTAATTGTGAATCAGCTCATGGTGGGCAAGCTGCAATTCTCTTCTCTGGGCTTTATTTGGTAGCTCTTGGGACCGGCGGCGTAAAAGCAGCATTACCAGCTCTTGGGGCTGATCAATTTGATAAGAGAGATGAGAGAGAAGCGCCTGATCTTTCGAGTTTCTTTAACTGGTTCTTGTTCAGTCTCACCATTGGAGCTTCTTTTGGGGTGACCTTCGTGGTGTGGGTTAGTGTGAATCAAGGTTGGGAATGGGGGTTTGGGATCTGCACTGTGGCCATTTTGCTTGCGATTTTCTCTCTCTACTTAGGCAGGTCGAATTACAGGGTGTATGTGCCGGTTGGGAGGAGCCCTGTGCTGCGAATTTTGCAGGTATGAATGTGTGTGTAAGAGAGAATATTTACTTGGCTCGGTAGTTGGTCTTTGCCATTTAAGTGTGCGAGTTCGAGTGGACTCGCTTGACCAACACAAAAAAATAACAAAAATAAAATAAAAATTTAAAAAATCAAAAAAATTGTTTAAAATATACGAAAAAGTGAAATGCCAACTAAGCTATAAACAATATGAAAAATTCAAAACAAAAAAAAATGTAAAAGGATATAATTTCTATAATTTTTTTTATGTAGCTAGGAATTCTAAGTAACTTGGCAGAGGATTCGAGCTTCAAGAGAGAGAGTGTGTGTTAAATAATTTAGAAAAAATATTATCATCATCGTAACTTTTTTTTCAATTAATTGTGATCGACTAGTTTAGTAAAACTATACTTTTTATAATTTTTTTATATACCAAGTCTATACCTAAGGGTAGTTCGTTGCCAAAGCCGTCAATGAACCAAGTTTATACATAGGGGAGTATAATAACTTTGCGCATAATAGTTAGGGGCAAGTCGACTCGGTGCTGGTGGGTGGGCAGATTGAGCCGAAGACCCCTCCAATTTCACGTAGTTCGAACCGGCTTTTTTGTTTTATGTTTTTTCATTTTTTTAGTAGCTAGGATTGTTCCAAGCCGGTTCATAACCAGTGGCTAGCTGATTCGACCCACCTCTTCGGTTTTTAAAATACCAATAAGCAAAAAAATTCTATACCAATATATTGGTGCAATATGCTAGTATAGGATTTTTTCTTTTTAGTAATGTTTGCATTTGGGTTTCAAACGGTCTTGTAGTAACTCCTCAACCATTTGATGTGAACAATGAATGCTCTTCATTGTTGCTCTCTTTACTCAAGTGCATATTGAGCTGAATTTTGTTGGCATCAGGACAGTTTAAAGAGTTGATACTAAATTATTTGAAGGAAAAATTTTATGTGAGTCAGTGGACGCAAGCCCACGAACATTCATCTTTAAGATGGACGTTGTGTGAAGTGCATTAGATCAAAATAACTTGTAAGAAAAAAAAGAAAAAACACATTTTAAATTTTAAATTTTTTTGCTTTCTTTCATATTCATGTTCACCTTGGGCTAGATCATGATTCCCTAAAAATTTGGCTCAAAAGTCCATTTTTAAGATGGATTTTAAAGAGGGGGCGCATGTGTACATATGAGTTGTCGGACTCAACAAAACCCTATCCTTATTTGAAACCTAAAATTCTAACATGGTTTGCTTTTTCTTTATAAAGTATGCCCATAAATAGTTTACCCGATTAAGCTTTGCATAATATGGTGGCATTTGGTGTGCATTGCGAAGTGCATCCTGAACCATCAATGGTCAAAGATGGAGACTAAATCAGTCTCTCTCAGTCCATCAACCTTCCTCTGGTTCAAAATGGTGGTTGATGTGAGATGTAGGTTACAGTTGGTACGCTATATGTATCACAGTATATAAGTTTTACATACATAGGGACTACTGACTATTGAATCAATAAGGGGTTTGGTCAAATTAAAACCATTTTAATCACCAATCAAATTAGATGGACATGATTCTAAACGTATAATGTTAAAAATATGAATAATATAATATATTATTTAAAAAGTTATTCAATTTTGTTTAGCTAGTCAAATTGGTCAAAACTGACAGAGTGGAACAATTAAAATATTTAAAGTTTTTATCAAGCTTCGAAGTAAACCTGATTTTTATTTTGAACCAGAAAGATCAAGGCACTGGCTAACCATTTGACCAATTGGAATCTGCTCTTAATAACTATGACATGTAGTGGTACTACATATGGATCATGGAATATTAGAGATAGAGAACAATATTATCACTCATAAGTTCATAAAACAATGGGTTTATAATTGTCCACTTAACTGGTTCGATCGTCATCATCACTATCATTTGAGTCCTATCCTAAATATTTGAGGTTGGTTGCACAAATCATGTTATGCTATTCTACTCTATCAATGGTCATACCCTCAGTCAGACTGAACGTCTAGAACACCCTAACATGAGCATATAAAATAGGTTTCGGATTCATGAAAAGATGTGGTAAAGTTCTATGCTAGCCGCCCTACCTAACACAATCCTCTTCTTTTACCCGGGCTTAGGACCGATATGATCGGCTTGGGACCAGCCACATCAGAGTTCCATTAACTTGTTGGATATGAAGCGAAAATATGGCATTCCAAAATGGTGGGAACTACTTACAACACCGCATACATAGAGATGAAGTTATCGCAACCATGTTGATCAAAGTGGCAACGGGTTGGGTCTGGACCCGAAAAACTATTATGGGACCCAGTCCCAAAAATATAATGTGGGACCTGGACCCCAACCGGATTGGATCCGAATAAAAAATTAAAATATCTATGTAGTTAAATATATCTTAATATTTTTTCATAAATTGCGAAATGTGGGACCCGGACCTGATCAAACCCAGACCCAAATCCGAAGAGTGTTCGGGTCTAAGATTTCAAACTGGACCTGACCTGTCGAGTAATTTTTCACTAATACTTGGACCTGGGTGGGGTATAGCCATCGGGTCTAGGTACATGCAAGAGTTCAACTATTTAGTAGGTTACCTATATATTTTTTATTTAATTTTTAAAATAACTATAGAAATCCACGTGACCATGAATTGAAATAGCTGAAAAAAGATAAAATTGATAAATTATCAAAAAATTAGGTGTATTTTGATTTTTTTTTTTTTCTCAACGTTCAGGTGTTTGTGGCCACTGCTCGTAATTGGAGACTCTCAGTGCCCAAAAATTCAGGAGAATTGTATGAATTGCATGACAAGGAGGCTGGACCGCAAGGTGAAACCCTAAAAAGGACAGACCAGTTCAGGTAAACATAAAAAAAATTGTTGGAGATACAATTGTACTATTATTGTAGTAAATAAAACATGTTTTATTTTGAAGCTTTACAATTTGGAATAAAGAGCTCTAGTATTTAAAAATTCTGGAAATTAGGTGTAAATAGTTTTAAAATCATAAAAATACAATCGAAAAGCATAAAATTTCTTGCAAATATTTTACGATATATATTTGATCTTGAATTTTTTTTTTTTTTTTTGAGGCACATATAGAGGCTGATCTAAAATTTTTTTTTTGAGGTTAGCTAGTTGAAGTGATTACTTCCCAAAATTTGGGATCCTACAAATTTTATATGTTATACCCGAACGGAGTAAATGGACAATATGCTTCAATTGGAGCCAAAAATATTTTAAAAGCATACTTTTTTTGATTTTGCTCTGCTATAATTATTATTAGGAATTGTATACTACAAGGCCTTTAGTTTTAGTATAAAGAAGTCAAAATTATTATTTACCATTAGATGTGAAATCGGATAATTAGGGGTACGTCATTAACTAAGCACAAAAGCTAAAATATTATTTCTCTAGGTTTGAGACATACTTTAAGCTATGGGATTTTATATGTATTGGTTAAGGGTAATTGTGACGTCTTATGGTACATAATCTTATCATTTATCAACAAAATAGGGATATGTTAGAGCTAGTTATTTATTTGTACAGAAAAGTATATAATATGATAATTTGCTTTTAGTACGTCGGGGTTGAAATCATCTTTGGCCATTAGATATCAAATCCGGTGATGGGATATGTCATCGATAATACTCAAAGTCCAAAAATAAATTTGCAAACTTTATGTTGCGCTCTGGATTTCTCATCGGCTAATCCAAGTGACATATGCCCTTCTGCGTTGACATTTTTGAAGTTAAAATTTAAATTCAAAATGCAATTGTGGTCGTCTATTTTTTTCAAGCCAAAAGATATTCTACTCATGTGCGAGTAGAACTTCATTTACTCCCTCGGGTAAAACTCAGCTTAGAATTAAACCTCAGGACTCCGAACTTTGGGAATCTAACCTCTTCAACTCATAGATTAACCTCAATAAAAAAATTTCTAAAACTTTTTCTAATTGCACCCTCTATGCAATTGACAAAAAATAGTATCTCGAGATTGGACAGAGACCATCCAATTTTTAAATAGAGAGATATAAGTATTAAAAAAACTCAAATTTCAATTTTTTTTTAACAATTAGTAATTCTTAAGTGGTTCCCAAAAGTCTAGATTGAAAAAATCCTCCCAAGTATGTCTTCTGACTAAGAGAGTAGAAGTAAACTATACTCCTCATGAAGCATAGTATACATGCTTTTTTTTTCGATTTTAATTTGAACAATTACAAGGTGTTTGCGCATAAATGTCAATTTGATGGTAACTCAATACCATCCCATACGAATTAGCAACTTTGGCCAGAGGCATGGATATACCAGCGTTTGACTACTCAGTCTGAGTCCCGATAGTGGGATATTAAAAAGAAAACAAAAAGAATCATAAAAAAAAATTTAAAAAAAGATTTTATTTTGTGATATATTTGTTTATATTTTCTATCATTTTTGCTAAAGATTGGAAAGTGTTTTTATTTTTTTATTTCTTTTTGTAAATACCTATTTTTATATTTTCCATCTTTTTGGATTTTTTTAATATGCCCCCAATCACAAGTTGATTTTTTAAAATTTATTTATTTACTACTTTTTTTATCCTCATTTTGATGTGTTTTGTTCAATCCTACTTGAAACATACGTTCTTTATTTTTCTGGATTTTTTTTTGTATTTGTATAAAATTTTAACCTTTTTTTTTTTACTGCTACAGTACTCGGCATTACTTGGGCCAAGTACTCGGATCGGGCATGGGCCTGAGTACCCGCCCCAAGTGGTTTTGAACACAGGGATATACAACTAAAATTAGGGATTTAAGGAGCCATTAGCCTTTTTCTTGCCCCGGAAATCATCTCATGAGGCATACTCGGACAGGGTGACTTTGCAATAGGGGACTCACATTATTTACACGAGCCTTCCAATAAACATACATATTTCGCTAGTCACATGCTCCAGCTGGCCCTCCAAAAAAAATATAACAAACTTTTTATGGGATAATGATTAAGTGATCTTATGGAACCAAATTGTATTGTTCGTCATGCGAGAAAAAAACATTAGAGGAATTTTTTTGATCCAAAATTCTCACAACATCTTTAATAAATAAATTTGAGAGGAAAAAAAAAAGTTATGGAGCCAACCCAATAGCTCCGGTTGGCCTCTCCAAGAAAAAATATAACAAACTATTTATGGGATAATGATTAAGTGATCTTATGGAACCAAATTGTATTGTTGGTCATGCGAGAAAAAAACATTAGAGGAATCGCTTTGATCCAAAATTCTCACAACATCTTTAATAAATAAATTGAGAGAGAGAAAAAAAAAAGTTATGGAGCCAGCCCAATTGCCACTCCACGAGTAACAAAGGACATTTTATTTGATGGAGGAATGTTTTTGGTCTTTCAAGAGCTTACAAAAAAAAAAAAGACTACTTTCGTATTTCATCGCACGGTGAATCGAAGATGTTTTGAAAAGTGATTGTATACTATAAAACTATGGGAAAAGTTTATATAACGTTGCAACCTTAAATGTAAAATCACATATGCACCTCAAAAATCTATCGGAAATGTTATTTTAATGTTGAAAAAACCCTCTAATCGATCATCTCGACGTTGAGATGTATGAATATGAAAAAAAAAAGTTTTTGAGTCCCGGAATAGTGCATCGTGCAACACATTATCTAGACTGTCCATTTTCAAGATTTTCATATATTTATAGATCTACTTGATTTAAACCATTTTTGGAATTTAAGATTTTCTAATTAGGTATGAAAATAGATTTTAAGATAATACTAAGAATTTTTTATAACAAAATTACATGTTATGATAAAATTTTAAGGTACGCCTTAATTGGATTGTTTAAGGTTGCAACCTTATAGAAACCATACCCTAGAACTATTTGACAGCTCTTACAACTATCTAATGGGAAAAGTTTATATAGAGCCGAGGTTCTAAACAATCAAATTTGAGCCTACCTCAAAAAAATTCACTAAAAGAGGTTGTTTTGATGCCCAAATATCTTCAAATTGATCATCTTGACATCAAGATGCATGGACATGAGAAAAAAAAAATGGATTTCAAGTTTTGAAAATAGTGTATTTTGTAAAACATTTTTTGACCGTCAATTTTCAAGTTTTCATTGATCTGTCAATCTACACTATTTTTGAAGCTTTAAAATTTATAAATAAATATGAAAACATATTTTAAGGCTATCACAAAGATTTTCAGTAGTGAAACCATATTTCTCAACACTCTTTGAAGGTTGGCTCTAATTTGATTGTTTACAGCCTAGGCTCTATACAAACCGCGCCCCTATCTAATTTAAAATAAGATAGATAAGAATGATCGTGACTTTCTTGTACCAAAAATAAATGGGCAAGCTTTCTATATTTCTCCTTCCAAATAAAATTTATATACTTCCCCTTATCCAACCGTCCATTTTGAATGGAAGGCTAAGATTGCCCCAATCACAATATCACTTCTCTACATTATTTTATTTTTAATTTTTTTTATAAACTATTTTGATACCAAATTTTGGACATCCAATGCTCTATTAAACTCGCACTAGCGAAAAAATATAAAAAAAATATTTCAATAAAAAAAAGACCAAACTACCCCTAAAATTTTCAAGGGGTATTTTGGTCATTATATTTTATTGAAAATTTATTTTTAATATTTTTTGTAGGTGCGCCCCAATGAAAAGGTGACACATTATATTCATACAATTTTCATAAAAAAACTAAACGTTAGATCTAAGATCAAACGGTGAGTGACTATCTTGATCAAAATTGGACGGCTGGATAGTACGGGAAGAATAGATCTTCTATACTGTAGGAGAAGTATAGAAACCTTTTTCAAAATGAATAGTCGCTTTGTATACTTTCTTTCGAATTTTTTCGGGTCGTAAAAGATCACCCAAGGTGTTTTTACACTTGGAACCAAATGTTACAATTTGATGTATTAAAGAGCTGACATTATCAGCCTTAGCTCCGCATCCCACATTAGTAGGAGACATTCGAATTCTACATCTCTGCATTTGACCTAAATTGTCTAAATTTAGGACCAGGGTTACATTGGTTTAGATCCATCAACCGTGGAGTGTTTTGATGCATCAACCATTAAAAAAGAAAAGATACCAAATTTTGTAAAGTCTTCACTAGGGGTGGCAACGGGCCGGGCATAGGCCAGGCCAACTTTGGTCCAGGGCCGGTTCGGACCGGGCCAAAGGGGTTCAGGCCCTAGCACTGTTAGGTCCGGGCCAAAAACAAATGAAGAAAATAAAATAGGAAAAGGAGGGTCGTGCTGGGCCAAACCAAGCCAATCTAGCCCTAGCCTGGCCCTCATGCCACAATTGAGGCTCAAGCCCTATTTTTTTAGGGAAGGGCAAGCCGACCACCCAACCCATTGCCAGCCTCCATCTTCACTGACAATTTTGTGTAGGCTAGTACTCTTGTACATCACCTGTGTTAATTAATAGAGGTTATATGCTAGCATCAACAACAAAAAGATGAGATTGTATACTATTAGATCATTTATCTTTTAGTACAAGTAGGTTACAATTAATCATGAGTATCATATGTTCAATTAGATGGCTTGGGGTATGTCACAAAATTCAAAAAAAAATTAATTGGGATTTTAGTTTAGGTACAAGTACATTTATAACTATTTGATTTGAAATTTGATAGATAAGAATGATGGAAATGGTTTCTTTGTATACTTTTCCTAGAAAGATCCTTAGCGCCCATTTCTTTTTTTGTAGGTTCTTAGACCGCGCGGCTATCCCTAAAGACAGCATCACACACACGACACACCCTTGGCACCTTTGCACAATGACCCAAGTAGAGGAGACCAAGATTCTCATGCGCATGCTCCCTATTATAGCCAGCACCATCTTCATGAACACTTGCCTGGCCCAACTGCAAACCTTCTCAATTCAACAAGGAGTGACCATGGAACCACACCTTGGCAAGTTCAAGGTCCCTGCCTCCTCCATTCCTGTCATACCTCTTATCTTCATGGCTATCCTCGTCCCCATTTATGAAAAGGTCTTCGTCCCTGTGGCTCGCAAAATGACAGGGATCCCGACCGGTATCAGTCATTTGCAAAGGATTGGGGTGGGCTTGGTTTTGTCCATAATCTCTATGTCAATTGCTGGGGTCATAGAGACCAAGAGAAAATCAGTTGCTATAGAACATAACATGGTGGATACCAACAATATCATGAATCCTTTGCCAATGTCTGTGTTTTGGCTAGGGTTTCAGTATGCCATTTTTGGGGCAGCTGATATGTTTACATTGGTGGGGCTGCTGGAGTTCTTCTACAGTGAGAGCTCAATAGGGATGAAGACTTTGGGGACTTCAATATCTTGGTGTTCTTTGGCATTTGGGTACTACACTAGCACAGTGGTGGTGGAGGTGGTGAATAAGGTGAGTGATGGATGGCTTGCTGGTAACAACTTGAATAGGGATCACTTGAGTTATTTCTATTGGCTGTTGGCTGGTTTGAGTGCGGTGAACTTTGGGAATTACTTGTATTGGGCCAAATGGTACAAGTACAAGAGTGTGGTGATCCCAAAAGAAGATGATAAGTAAGGAATCGACGCAACTGGTCGCCCGATCCTTTCAAATAATCGAGCACGATCATCTTAACCGCATCAGGGATGAGCTCAAGGATATAGGCAATGAATGTTCTAGTTGGGTTTTGGATGTAGCAATATGTTTTGGGTTTGTAGAGTATGCAAGATGGATTTTGAGCTGAAGAAATATATGTTTTGGGTTTGTATAGTATGCAAGATGGATTTTGGGTGGAGGAAGGAAGAGCCCTCAACCATCTTTTGTTGTTGTGGACGGTCGAGGAGCTGCTAGCAAAATGTTTTAAACTAAACTGCTAGATTAGTATACTTTTCATATGTTCAATGTGGCCCTTGTCTTTTTTCTTGTTCTTTTGTTTTTTTTTTTTGGGATGTTAACATGGGACCTGATAAGAATGGAAATCAATAGTTATGGCAGCCCACCATCCTAACCACCTATGCTTTGAATCCTCTCTCTATGGCATGGGACAAATGTCTTGCCCCCACTATGCATTATTTTGTTGGGGATCTCTCATGTCCTAGCATGGACTAATTTCCTCTCTCCATTGTGCATTATTTTGTTAGGTCTAAGCAATGGTTTAAAAAATGGATCGGTGCCCCTGGGCACCCCAAAAATCCATTCAGATCGGTGAATCGGTGATCCAGATCTAGAGTCAGCCAAATAGGTCGATTGATCCTTCAAAAAAATCCCAAAAAATTATTAAAATTAATTATAAATATTTTTTTTTAATAATCCAATAAGAAATGGGGATACTGCATGATTAACTTTCATTTTTTTTAATCAATATGCGAATATTGAGATTTTCGTTCCCTGTATGAAGATTCTCATCAAATATTTATTAAAATCTAACTAAGGACAATATTATACTTTAAAATTAGAATTATTGGTATGCATTTTCTTGTTTTATCATTATTTTACTATACAAATAAAAATAAGTTTGAAATTTGTCTTATAGTATCATCTAATTTAAAAATCTAAAAATTTAACAATAAATTAGGAGAATCAGCCAAATAAGCAAATTTTGTCTCAAAATATTTTTAAAAAATCATTATGAATATTTAAAAATAGTATTGTTTTAGTTTCTAAAAGAAATTAGTTACCTTAGTCCAACTAAGCCTTTATACCCAAAAAGGAAAAAATTTATATAAGGTTGAAACATTAAAATGTAGAACTATGGATGCACCACAAAAATCTATTGGAAAAAGTTATTTTAGTATTGAAAAACCCTCTAATTGATCGTCTCAATGTCGAGATGTATGACTATGAAAAAAGAAAGGATTTTGAGTCCCAAAAGTGATACATCTTATAACACATTATATAGACCATCAATTTTTAAGATTTTCATATGTTTATAGATCTACTTGATTTCAATCATTTTTAAAATTTAAAATTTTATAATTAGATATGAAAATAACTGGAGGTGCTCTTTAAATGGATTGTTTAAGGTTGCACCTTGCAACCTTGTGGAAACCACACCCTTATAAATGAGGTCCAAATACGTCTTCCATCGCACATGAAAACCAAGCATGAATAGTGACACATCCAAAAGGCTGAAATAGCCATATAAATAGTCTCTCTTAGCCTTTTATGTAAAGCTGCATGCTCATAATGGTGGTTGGTAGGTACTTATGACAGTCGCAAGTATGTGTAAGAAGTTTTAAATAAAATAATGTAAACGGTGACTGCAACAGGTACGTGTGGTGTACGAAATTTATATTAAAAATAAATTTTACATTAAAATAATGTAAAAAACTTGATTCTTTGGGATCCGGATATATCATTGAATCTGGATCACTTTGGACGATATTCGATCTGGTTCGGGAGACTGCGATCCGAATAGGCGATTTTTAAACACTGGGTTTAAGTGTAGAATCGTATAGGGGTAGTTGAAAGAAAGACTAATTTGATTTTACCAAGAAATTTTATTTATTTTTTTTTTTTTTCACTCTTTTATTTTTATTTTTCTTTCTTTTGGCAAAGATCACTTACAAGTAGTTTTATTACAATAACTCTTGCTTCAAAGAAAATAAAACTAATAAATCCAATATCTTAAAAACATTGATGTCATTAAACCAATTTTCTTTAAACAAAGAAAATATCCATAATTTTTTTGCCTGGGAATATAAAGATAATATAATTAAATATGGTAAGAAATAAAAAGAGTGTCAAATATTATCTCAATCGGGTTTAGTACAACTCATACTGAGTCTCCTCCTTCCAATGATGCACGAGATCTATGATCGGTTACTTGATTCTCCTACATATAGCAAAAACTCTCTCAATGGCATATAAATCTTGATCTAAAAACCAACTACCTAATGCATCAACTTCTTAATCTTGTTCCAACCCTTTTGACTTGATTTTTTGAGAGATGAGAGATAGATCAGAGAAGTAGAGAAAGTCCCTTTGGCTTGATCTTTTTAGAGATAAGAGATAGATTAGAGAGATAGAGAGATCTACGAGCAAGGGGATCTTCCCTTTTGCTACCCAAAAATCAAATCCTTAGCTAACCAAAAATCAAATAAAAAAGATGGATGGCTCTAGCTCTAGCCTTCAACCTGTAAGTTGGTTATACCCAAAAGATAAGCCAACAAATAAAGGATAAACATTCTTATCAAGAAGAATACGTGAATGGGTGAGGCGTGCTATTCTTTTAGTGGCTACGTGTGAGCCCACCTATTCCACATGTTTTTAATTTTTGGGCTTCATATTTTATGAAAGTCCCATATGTTTTTAGAAATTATTTTATTTCATAATTAGAATTTTTAAATCTTTATATTTTATTTAAAACATTGAAAATTTAATATATCTTAATTTATAAATCCAAACGATAAAAATAAAATATCATAAGATTCACAAAAATTCAAATAAACATTCTAAAAATCATATATCATAAAACTAATTAATTTTGATGGGAATCAGATCCATTATATCTAGGAATTATCAATATATGAGAGCACTCCACCTTTAACTGTGAATCACGATCCGTCTAGCTTTCTCAAACTTACCCAACAGTTCTCATGACCCACAATCCACTGCAAGGGCACATGATTGGATCAGCAAAGTCCGCCCATAGACTAACACTGCAGGGGTTCATAATTGGACCACTAAAGTCAGCCAATAGACTAGGAGATGCAATCTCAGTTTATGGATTTCAAGTTTTCCCCTAGAGACAAAAAAGTACGATCCTGCATACCATGATACAATCATGACTCAATGGTGGTTAGCGGTAATCTCTCGCACATGTACACGTTTCATCTTCATTGGCGAATCTTAAAACGGCTATCTATGTACATGTCGTGTGATGATATAACGTTGATGTTTTAGCCCTGTCTCTAAAAGTTATTCATCACACGTAAGGGCCACACAATCCCTTGGCTCTCATCTGGACATACTTCGACCTCATCAAAAGTTAACCCACTAAACCCGTCTCGGTAGATCCTTATGCCCAGGTACCTTGGATTATTTCGAACTCGACTGGCCTAGCACGTCAAGCTTAGTCAAAGTATCGACAAATCACATTTACCTAGTATAGTCCACAAAAGGACTATACTTCCACTGAATTTATGTTTCACTATAAAAAATTCTCATACAAGCTCTCATAAGGCCTTAGGTCACATAAACCCAACCGTGGTAATAGGTCCGACCGACCCGACCTAGGACCCAAGGGGTAGACCCAATCTGGGTCTAGGTATGGGTCCAAAAATTGGACACATTGGGTCGGGCCCATGTCTAAATTTTGGATCCGAACACTATTCAGGCCCGGGTTCGGGTCCAGTAATATTTGTCGGGTCCTACTATATGAAACATATTTAAATATTTTTAAATTTTTTGATCGGGTCCAATCAAGTCTGGGTCTAGCCAAACCCGGACCCAACTCGACCAGACCGATTGCCACTCCTAAACTTGTACAACTTACTTGCAAAAAGTTGGCCCTCGGGGAACAATAGACCGTGTTTGAAACGAGTGTTTAAAAAGTTGCCTAACCGATTATAACTACCTGAGTCAACAGGGATCGGTTTGAGTCTCTGTCGGAACTGCTCGATTAACCCAAAAAAAAAAACCTTCTTGGTTCATAAAATCACCAATCCGTCGTTCTTAATCCTACTCCCTCATTTCTACAATAAAAATCATGAAATTAGGGTAACAATTTTAGTATTTGAGCCGTCTTTCATTTTCCGCACAACTAGTTTTCGGTAAAGAAACCAAAATAATAGAAATCTAGAGTCCAAAGTTTGGGAGGTTTTATAAACCGAAATCTAAAATACCCTATTTCTCTATCACTGTTCCACCAAAATTTGTCAAGTTTGTCCCAAAATGTTCTCTACAAAACCCATAAAAGTACTTTGTATAAAAACCAAAAGCCTGTGAGATTAATTTTTGTTCTTTCGCCATTCTTTAATTTTCCTCGTCTTTTGATCTATTTTCTCTCAAGAAAACACATTTTATCTTTCTTCAACCTTTCCATAAGTTTTTTCTTTCTTTTCTTTTGTTTTGTGTTGATACAATTTTCCACTTGAGAGATACAATTTTCAAAAACTGATATTTGGTTGAAATTCCTCACCGTATTACTAATAAGAGCCCATGACATGAGTTATAAGATTGTTTAATATTTTACATGTGACCCCACCGATATTTGGTTGAAATTCCTCACCGTATTACTAATAAGAGCCCATGACATGAGTTATAAGATTGTTTAATATTTTACATGTGACCCCACCCACATTTAAATTACATGTGACCCCTGCTCTCAGCCGTTGGATCCGAGTAGATGGTTCGTATGGCTTGAGTCACAATGTCACAAGTTGGTTCTTGGGGGGTCAGATCTTGATCCGACGGCTTAGAGTACTTTATTTTTACTCTTTATTTTATAAATCATTTTCCGAAAAAATTTGGGACATGTATACAGGGGCGCATTTAATAAAAATAATTAAAAAAATATTTCTTTTGATAAAATTTACTAGAACACCCTTAAAACTTTCCGGAGCATTTGGGTTATTTTTTCGCTAATTTTTTTTTCTTTTTTTTTTTTTTTCTTAGGTGTGCCCCAATAAGAAAATGGGACATCCCAAATTTCACTTAAAACCGTTTTGTAGAAAAAATAATTAAAAATCAAACAATATTTAACATAGCATTGTGATATGGGAATAAGCCCTTTATGGGATTCGAGCATAGCCTGGATAAGGATTCCAACAACTTAAAGATAGCAACGCCATGCCTAAGTCCCCACCTAGAAAGTAAAAAATGTCTGCATAAA